TGTTTTTTATTTTATTGATTGTAAATTTGTTTAATTTCTTTAGTTTTAATTATTTATTTGACATTAAAAATACTAATTAATAAATTATAACTTTACGTTCACAAAATATTATAATTTGTTAACAAAATTTTTTATATACTTTGTTTTATTTTCGAATAAAAAATAACGAATAAACATATTTAATTGTAAATAACGAATAATTTTAATGATAAATAATTCTATTATCAACAAATAAAAAATAAAAAAATTATTCGTTATTCGTAATCAAATAAAAATTTATTCAAATAATGTATAACACTGTTTCGTACCTGAAGGGCCCATAACGGCCAATAATTCGCCTGGCTTGACGACTCCCGAGACATCTCGAAGGAGCACTCGCTTCTCCTTGACCACCTGCAATCCTCGGAAGATTAGCTGCACCGGGCGAGAATCCAGCGGGCACACCAACTGCAGCGCTGAGCTTTCCACTCTGCAAACATTGAAATATCGCACTTTCAGAAAAGACGCGTCACTTGATTTTCCGCGTCCTACATTTTTTAACAAAAATTCTATATAACGTTTAAAAAGAAGATTCTTTTTTTTAACTAAGATATCATTGTCACGTTAATGCACAGCTATATATAATTCGGATAGAAATTAAAACGTTTTCGACGAAAACCTTTGAAATACAATTTTCGATGTGACCGTTATAAAATTTTATGCTACACACGGAGCTGGCGCGCCGATTTCGTTTGGAGTCTTTTCGCGTGGCCGCGATAAACCATTAGCGTAGATTCTGCGAACGAAACTGCGGAATTATCGCCGGTGCTAAACGTGCTAATTGCGTTCTCCAGATCTAGATTGCCGGCGCGCGACGTTGATGTAAAGAAAAGAGGCGTTGATTGTACGTCGAGACGGTTTTATCGCGGATACGAGACGCTAGCGAGATTAGCCCGAATTTAATGTTTCACGAGGCATTCACGAGGTATCCCATAAAAATTCACTTTAGCGAATCATCGGGTAGACGAATTTCGGCGGTCCGTGTCGTGGGATCTGCGCGCAAAGTCGTTAAAGCGAGGTGACGCGGAGTTCTAGGCAGGCGTTCGCCTGCTTGGTGCGAACGCGACGAGCAAGCTTCATAATAACAATGACGTCTCATGGGAGTTATTTCGCGACGGCAATTAAGCCTGGCGTGCGGTGCGTTACGCCGAGAAATGGCGTTTCGCAACGCCGAAGAGACTCGTGCGACAACGATGCGCTGGAAAATCTTTCTCTTTTCATCTGCCGACTGACCTCTTTCATATCACAAGAGTACGTTCCTCGATTTAAAAATTTCCTCGCATTTCGCTTAATGCGGCAATTTATTAACTATACTTGTTTACGTTTGGTAACAATAATATCCTTGACATTTCGGTGTTCAACATTGGCGCGACACCTCGTTCGTTTATCGTTTTTCGAAATCTTTTATTTTTCTTATACGATTATAAACAGAAGCTATATATCTGATAATCCTTATTAGAATTGATAATTGAGATTGAAACAAGATTATGAATAAGGAATATAAAAAATAGAATATAAAAAATAGTTTCACAAATAAGAAAATCTCATTCTGAGCATGAATTATGAATCTTTTGGAAAGCATCTCCGAATGACATCGTTTTTCGTCAAAATAACCGTTCTATAATAATAATTGTTTTATAATAAGACAACTGCAGTTGTCCCATTATGAACATTTTGATTGTACGCGAAACGATTTAGGAAATTTATGACAATTTAGAAACGAGTAAGAAGTCAACGTTCTTAGTGTAAAATATATGATATATAATATGCGTGTGTGTATATGCCTAAAAAAATTCATATGTGCAAAAACAAAAAATCCATTATGTTCGGTTAAAAATAACTAAAATAAAGAAAAATATGATTAGAAACGCAAAATTGTGAATTAGCTACTGATGATCACTATTTCTCTGTCTATTACATCAGTCTTTTAATCTAAAACTTTTGAGTGTGTACTTACTGCTTTTTACGCATGCCATCGCATGTCGTTAAGAGGTCCAAATGTATCGTTTCCTTAGGCGTTATATATCGATCTTTTACATTTGTTGTGTTGACAGCTTGATCATTTATATCTGTTGAGTTTGTGCTTTGAACATCTGCCATATTGTATTATATTTATCTATATTATATTCACAAAATAACTGCTCTCTTAATTCTTCTTATGATTTTCCGTGTAAATTTTGTCACAATAATTGCTCTGTATGTTAAATATTTTTAAAATGTAATATTTCAATGCTCGCACTTTTCTCTCTTCTTTATAACTGTTCTGTATCGCGTATTGTTTGGTTCTAAATACGAAACTGTTTCAACAAGCGTTCAATACTTTATAAAAGGTCGAAGAAAGAGATATGATTAGATCCTTTAGTGGGGATGTAAATATTTGTTATAGTTTAAATTTTCCTTATAGCTCACGGAAAAAAGACTTGGTTGAGATAACCAAGAAAATCTTGAAGAAAATGGTCGGCTCAACCACGTGCCTCGGTTATATATGCGCCAGCTGGATTTCTTGGTTACATATAACAACGGCACGTGGTTAGACTGCCGTAGTTGGAGCAACCAATAGTATTTGGTTTTTACCGAATTCACCAAGAACTTGGTTAAACTAGCTACGGTCATTGGTTGTGAGAACTAATTTCTGGGTGACTGGGTGACCAATCGGAATACCAGTTTCTTGGTTACCTCAACCAATTTCGTTGGTTATAAGCACCAATAGTTCCTACACGGAGATAATTTTTTTTTAATATTTTAGCCTTAAATTCACTACAAACTTGGGACAACTTGGCAACCAAGGAATTTTTAAAATATACAAAAGACATTTTACAAAACAACGTAATAAGCAGATTAATAAATTTTGAAAAATTTAGTAATATATAATACAGTTTTTTTATATAATATATTTAGTACACATTAAAAATTACATCAAGAAATGCTTTACATGTCCTTGTTAGAGAGAGAGAGAGAGAAAGAGAGAGAAAAACTTAATAATATAATTAGACTCGTGAAAATGTCAACGATATAAACGGCGAATGCGAGTCAGGCACGGGACGTGGTGCGTAATAAAACTTAAAACGTGTCTTCAAATGTAACGGACATTTCGGCTCTTCCTTTGAGCCATCTTCAGCATTTATTAAGAAAAAGGATTCTATTTTCTATTCCTGCAGAGCTCGAGGTAGGAAGCTCTCTTTTGGAAGAGCGGTCGTGACAAGCGAGCTGGTAAGCATGATTATATAGTGGACATTTCCAAGATACTAAACTCAGGTAGAATTTTGAACAATGCATTTGCCATGCCATGTGTATGTATATATTCGACTATGCTTCAAAGCTGTCGAAGAGTAACAACCCTAGTCAAATGTAAGGAGGCTCGACTATTAAAAGTGCGTATTATATACATACACACAGCATGGCAAATGCATTGTTCAAATTTCTACCTGAGTTTAGTATTTTGAAAATGTCCACTATAATCGTGCTTACCAGCTCTCGCTTGTCACGACCGCTCCTCAAGAAGCTTAATAAATGCTGAAGATGGCTCAAAAAAAGAGCCGAAATGTCCGTTACATTTGAAGACACGTCTTAAGTTTTATTGCGCACCACGTCCCGCGCCCGACTCGCATTCGCCGTTTATATCGTAGAAAAACTTAACTCTGCATTAGTCATATTAGTCATATATTATAAATTGATTATTCGTAGAATATATCTCTAAATTAGAAAAGTTTGATTCTTTACCGCTAATTTGTGTGAATTATCTAGTCGATATAGGAAAAGAGAATAAAATAATCGTTTACGGAAGAATATATGTTTTTATAACCTGCGGTTTATCAAGGATTTGTAAACGTGGAAATAATCCATGAAGCGACATAAAAATTCCATTGGAACCCATGGCACCTCCATATTTCGTACATATATGTCGAAACGTCGAGCGCTATTGCAAAATTACATCATTCTGCATATATTCCTAAAATGTTTCGCACGCATCCGTTCGCTCGCTGGCGATACGAGCGTCAAACCGGCGTCACGCGCGACAAACGTCCACCGCGAAAAACCCATCGCGGTACGGGGGATACGTCATCCGTGACCGCGCGATGACGGTGCGCCGGGGGAAATCGGGAAGAAACTAAGCCAAGAACGCGCTCAAATCCGCGGTGCACGCGAAAAAAGCGAGGGTCGTTGAACAACGGGCTTCAGATAATAAATTCCCAGCGTGGCGGTGTCACGTCATCCCGGGTTCGTTGAACCTGCCCGCTCGTTGCATGTCGGTATCCAGAGGGAGGAAAGAGCAGGATCGAGGGAAGGAGAGATGAGAAAGAGCGAGAGATAGAGGGAAAGAGAGACGTTCATTGTTCATTCAAAATTCAGCATATCTTTTCAGAAAGCTACTTTCGGTTACAAATCATCACCGTGTACGACAGCTATACTGAGAGAAAAAAGATTTCACGCACTCACATTTATCACTTACAAAATGTAGGAATATATAAAGAGTGTTTGTGTTATATATTTTTCCGATTAATAAAATACTTCAAACAAATCATTTTTCTTTACTTTAGGAGTTCATAAACCCCTTATTGTATCAAATCTTCAGATATAAATAAAACTAATAAAAAAGTTATCATATTATAAATATATTAAATATATTTAGATATATATACAGTTTCAAAACTATATCGTCGCTCTTTTCATTTTGAAATATATTTCCAATTTTAAATCGATCTTTCCTTAACAAAAAGATCGGTACTTTTGCATGAACACCTTTGTGCTATTCTACTTTGTGCTATTCAAATTTCTATATGTCAACATAATAATTTACATAACATATTTCTTTGTAAATCTAGTACGACAATATTTCCAAAAGATATTATTTAATATTAACATTTTGTTCCCTCTTGTATTCTTCACACAGAAAAATTTTAGGATAATATAACGGCATCTAAACGAGCACTGCCATCTCTCTTCATTTTTCAGACATTTCAGTCTGTGACAGTATGAGACGTTTAACATTCAGTACCTATAAAAAGATAGGCACGGGGAGGCGATGAAAGAGAGAGAAATGAAAAAGGGAATAAAAAAACAAAGCGAAAAGAGGTAAAGAAGCTCTCGAGACGGGTGAAACGAGGGGAAGAGAAACGAGGATTTTGTCGATTTGAATTGATATTTAGTGCACTTCCGTCGCGGTCATCGTCGACCCTACCATCGTAATAACACACGATTTATTCAGCAAATACAAACGTTCGCCGTAAGTGAGAAATAATTATCCCCCGGACTCGCTCAAGAGCACCAAGCCGACCTCTCCAGGTTCCGCCGACGTATAATAATTTCGTAACGCTAACGCCACGTGCAACTTGTCGTCGTAGCGGTCGCGGTTATTTTGCATCTGAATCCGAGGGGGTTGTCGCCGCGAAGCGTAACCGTTCAATCACGCGTGAATGATTGCGTGAATTAATTTTACCACCTCGCCGCACACCAGGGCCCCTGCATGGTTAATTCTAGATTTCGCGCTGCCGAGCGCGCCGAACACGCGCGGCATCACCACCGCCGCGGCGCCGGCGTGTTCGGCGACGTCCTTTTGACCGCCCGCGCCGTGACGGGCGGTTACGCCCCGCCCGTCGCGTTCATTTTCAGACATTTTTATATCTGCTCCCGCGCTCCACCCGGGTGTCAAGCCGGGGTCGCGCGGGGTTAAGTCTCGTTGAAGGAAGTTACGAACGCACGCCAAATTAATCCCTACGCGGGTTCGTCGACCCGGCCACGGCGCGCCGCCGGCTTTTTTCGCGCTATCGCGCGCCTTTTCCGCTTTCGCACGCGTGAAACGTGACGCACGCCCGCCGCGTTTATTACGAGAACACTTGACGCGACTGTCGTCTCTCCCGGATTGATGATTAACTTCGAATGCGTATTACGTGGAACGGCTTGTAAAAGAGTATCCCTATTTAGCTCTCACAGAGATATTGATCCGTACCCGAATGTTATAAAAAATAATGAAATATACGAAAATGTTTTGAACCAAAAATTCATTATAATTATATTTATTGTAATTTACTACAAACATAGAGAGCGATTACACGTTTAGACTTTCCGAAAAAGCATATTTCTTAGTGGAGTTTTTGCCCTTTCCAAATAATCAAATAATTACAAAGTTTTTAACGCTGTTAAATCTTTTCCGATATTTTTTTCATATTTTCTATAACTCGAGCGTTATTTTGTTAGTCTGCTTTTAAGTTCTACGTTATCCAAAGCGCATAAAAAATCAGCGAGCAGCAGAATGAAACTGTTTCCACGTCGGTGTGACTTATCCCGTTGTCCTTTTCTTTTTGTCATTTTCACGGTTCATTGTTACAACGTTGCGTCGAGGTCTCCCGGGTTAAGTCTCGTCGAAGAAAGTTGAATTCACCAAATTAACCCTGCCCGAGTTCGTTGAACCGATGCGGAGATACATGTGTAATTAATAATAACTGGATCTCACATCTCCCACGATCGCTTCTCGTGAATAAAACGCACCCTCGCAGAATGCTGAATATGTAATCGATGATATTATCGTGATGCAAATTATTTCCGAAATTGTTGAATAACAGGGAATCTTGGTTTTGAAAAAATTAACACTCGTTAAAAATCGTGCTGTTGAAACTTTAAGAACATATATGAGAATCTTACCGTATATAAATATCTATATCTATCCTAATTACTTTAGCTTAGAGGATAAGGAAGTTACGATAAGAAGAGATTGAAATACTAACGATAATCTGAATTCTTAGTACCAAATATTTTATCGAATACTTTAGATTACGCCGAGATAAGAATTAAATATCGACATCAAAATATAGTTTTAAACGAGCAGTTCTCAAGATTTCGATTAAATTCCTACAATCGATGATTCTTCATCAGCTTTACCAGCTACAAAATATCTCATCACTTTTTTCATTTCACGCAAGTAATATGGTACGATAAATCTATATATATATATAGATGGAAGGAAGATATATATATCTTCCTTCCATCTAACAAATTAATTCTCCCATGCTTTATTTACCCCGAAATCCCA